CATATCGCGAATCCGCTGTCTTGATAACTTGACACTCGGCTGGCGTGTACAGTTCGATATCTTTTATCACGTTTTACTCTTGTTACCTGTTTCTTAGTACGAAACTTAACTTATTACGAACCTAATATTCCGCTTGTCACGCAATATGCTGTCGAGCAGTGCTCTGTTATTAAAAATTACACTGCATATCGTGACAAAGTCTATCAAGTTTGTCAAGCTACCATGTGCTTCAAATTTTCTTTTTAGCAACAGAATTGAGATTTTGACAATTGTTTTTCTAAGTGGTCGTAATGTGACATGTCGTTCCAAAATAAATAAAACAAAATAGATTTCTAAATCAAACATTTGAAAATTTACTTATATAAAAATATAGGTTATTGGAATAGAAAAAAAAACAAAAAGAGAAGAGAATGATATAATTTAAACAGATTTATCAATAGTGTTTTAATTAAGTTAGAGAAATTCTATTTTTGTGTATTAATATTATAATTGTTTGTCAATAGTAATATATTAATACGCATATCAGTGGTAATATTAATACACTGTTCATCAGTTCAGTTAAATTGCGAAACAGATTTTGATTTTAACAATTTAAATTTTCAAAGATTGTTTCTTATTATGTGTCTTTACCAAGAAAATGAACATAAATGTGGTTCGATTTTAACATACTTTATTATTAACGAAAAGTAATTTATAATCGCGTATACAAAAGATGTAAAAATGTACGAGACATAAAACTTATAAAGTATAATAAGAATTCTGTCACCATCTTAATTACTCGAGACATAAAACTCAATAACGTTTTTATGAGAGAGACACGCTAAAGACGTGAACATTACTTTTTTTACTGTCGCATGCCCAGTTTCAGCGAGATTAGAGTCCTGATTTCAAACTCACTCGTTTTATATCGAATTGAGCTCGAGAGATTTACGATCTTTTCCCGAAACAATTCGGTGCTGTCGTCCCATGTGAGAACACTTCCGGTGCTGCGCCGGCATCTCCGGAACGCGTAAAACCCGTTTCTACCGCAAGAACGGTCGCCGCGGTTCAATCAGTAAATTCAGTTGCAAGTGGAGTATCAACCATGGCATCGCATGTGTCTGTATTTATTCTGTCCAAACGCTGACTATCGCACCCTGGATCTATTTTGTCGACATTTTACGATCATTCTTATCCCGCTATACGTCTCCTTCCCTCATTCTACGTTTGCTAATAACGCGGTACTCTCTCTGAAGTTTTTTCTCTTCGATAAATAATCACGACGGAGATTTTCTTGACTGCTCTCTTTACGATTGAAGACAAAATATTTATTGCAATGAGATATGACAATTAAACGATAAAGAGAGTATTAATAAGAAAGAAGAATACTTTATTTGTACATAATTTTTTTCGCGAAAAATACGAAAATGACATAATAAAAAGTTTAATTTTGTCATCAAAATTAGTTTACAAATTGTATAGGGTGTCCCAGAATTTCTAACTTAAAATATTAACAAGATGGTTTTCAAAAAATTAAGTAAAAATTATTTGTAAATTTTTATTTTAGATAATTTTTTCGATAATAAGGATTTAAATGTGGCTATTTAAGACTACATTTAGAAAAGTTTAAATGGTCACATGTCCGTGAGTTGCGCGTGTGATGGATTAGTGAGCGCTGGTGAGTGTGAACTTCAGCACTCACTGATACTCTCAAGTAATCATCTAAACCCCTAGTCTGTAATTAGTCATATTTAAATCCTTATATTTCAGAAATTGTTGTTTAAAATACTTAATTTTTTGAAAACTTTCTTACTGTAGTATTTTGAGTTGCGAATTTTGGGACAGCCTACATAAACTTTAAAAATTTTATAATATTACTACATATACATGTGTACATTCACATGTGTTATGTGCAGAATGGAACCGATTTGATCGTATTTGTTCTTAATATTAAGATTTAAAATCATCGCAAATTGGATGAATTTATTATGTTTTCTTTGCTATGGATATATAATTAGGACACTTTTCTATTTCAAGATTGCGCGATATTTACAGACAAAAGTAAATATTTTTTTTATTTAATGTCTGAGGCATTACTTCAAGAATTATTGCTCTCTGAAGTGTATATTGATTCATATGTGTGTTACGCGTTGAAGAAAAATAATCGATTTTTATTATCTAACTTCTAATGAAACAGTGTGTATAAATTATGTTGTCGAAGAAGAAACTCGTTGAGGAGGGATATGCTTTATATTTTAACAACATGTTACTTTCAATATTATCATTTCAATGACTGTTATAACTGATCCTTGAAATTGTCTGGTAACACCTAATAACGGCAATCATAATGCGAATAATGCGAAATAAAATATTCAATGAATAACTACGTAATTGCTATACAACGGCTGAGAAAATCAATAATGGGCCGTAAATTCAATAGATATAGACGTGGGGCTGGCGTGTTTTACCACTTATCTAACCATTATGGTGGTGTCGATCTCTTCGGTTATATTTGAATAAAAAGAATTTTATCGGAGAGAGAAGCCCACAGTACGCAAATACTGTATGTAAAGGGTATTAAACACACACATACGCACACACACACATTTATATGTACTCACATATATATGTATATATAAAATTCTTTTCCACGACTAGTTTCGTTTTACGACCGCGAGTTATTCTCACGAACATGTCGCACCACACGCACTTTGAGTTTCATTCTCTACGTATTTCCGTATATGATATACGTGCTTTCAGTTATTCAATTTGTATTGTCCGCATATGCTGTACTTAGTACGTTACATGACAATTTTTAGAATGCTCTTTGTTGTTAATATGACGAGTCTCTTGAAGATAAAAGTCTGGGAATGCGTGAGGAATAAAAAAAAAAGGAAATATTATAACTTCTGATGTCACATAATCGAAATATATTCGGGATGTAAGTGTTGTCAATAAACTAGTGTAAATTATTGTTCGCCCATTATGCAACGGAGAAAAAAGTTTACTATGGACGCTAATCTTATGCCGCAACGGCAACAGGGATCGCAAATTATTTGCAGATGCGTAACAAATATTTATTCTTTTTTGTACTCGCTACAAAAATTATTCGCAACAAATGCAAAATATTTGTCAGATATATGATGTTTGCTTATAAACAGCAAACGAATTTGACAATTTAATTTTGCAATCTTTTTGTGCGTTCATAGCAAAATCATTTTTCTCAAATTCGTATGGAACTTGGAACAATATAATCGGTATACAGTTTAAGTCTCCTGTTATTCTTCGACGTCCCCCTCCCCCCTCCGTGCATTTCATTCATTTATAAAGACAGCACTATAACCTCAGGGAATAGTAACCCAAAGTCAGGTTGCGACGTCAATCGATTGCTGTGTTCGCCTGCAGTATCGGCAATCACGAACGATGCATTCGTAGGCGCGAAATAATGTTTGATAATATAACAAACTGTTACGGGCAAAGTTCGCAAGTGTCGACTTTGGCCATGCGATTGGATTGGGCAATGTTGACATGGCCCGGGCAATGCTGACATTGTACAGTAGGCAACTCGGGCAATGTCAACACTGCCCATTAAGCGGACTTTGCCCGTACCAGCTTTCCGCATCTTGCAAGTACATATAGAAATTCTGAATCTTTTATCGAAAATATTTCCGCTTTAGATTATTTTCAATCGGCTTTTGCTTGCCTCAATGATATTCGGAACACGAACGTCAATGATCATTTTACTGGCGTTCCACTTCTGAAAACAGTGTCGCAAAAAAATGACGTTTGTCATCGTTGAAGTCATCTGACGGTGCGCTCTGTGCGCTGTGTGTCGGCTGTGTCGCATAAGTGCAATATAATCTACGCGGTTGATCGTTTCTGTCGGTTGAACGAATTCAATCGTAAAACCTCAACGTTCCGTTCAAAGCCGCGTGCTACCTCCATCCGGTCAACCACTACATCGTCGCGCGAGAGCTATCCCTTCCCTTCCCAACCGTTCGTTTCCCGCGCGTCGCGCACCCCTGATACGACTGTCGTGTCCGCTATCCTCACCGTGACGTACTCCCACCCGTATGTCGCCCGTGGCCAGCACGTATTTCGCATCGTGTCGTCGCTACCATCAGATCGGTGGGATAAGACAGAGAAACTTTTTTACGCATGCGCAACCGTGTTATATGACGTACGCGTAATACCCAAGTATATGATCCTAAGTAGCGTACGTGCTTCACAGAAATACGTGGTGTTATTTAGGCCCCGTCAAGGAAATAGGAAGTATCAGGGTGACACGCGCAGGAGTTGCTAATGACCAAATAATGTAATTATGACTGATCTGCAAAGTCATTTGAGTTTATTATTAGCAAATCCACGAACTCTCGAACTCATATTACATTGCGAACATTCATATATATATTTACACATCATGTTCAATCGCATATATTTTTATACGTGATGATGCAATTTAAGAAAAATATAAGCAAAACGAATAGGAAAAGTTAAAATTTATTTTTTAATTATATTATTTAATCTTAAAAACTTGTTATATTATTATAATGACATTATTAATTTTTTTGAATCTACGTAATAAATTTCACATCTAGACGGATTAAAATTAAAATGTAACGTTTGTTTTTCGTAGCTCATGCTTTCTGAATTTCTAGTGTATAACATCCATTTGAAAAAAATCTTATTTAAAGGTGTTGTGTGAAACTTAGGAAAGGTAATATCAATTTTATGTGCTAATAAAATAATAAATTAATTTTATTTATAATACATGTGTACGTATTTATCGTTTTTTATATACTTTTACAATATAGTAAAAAAAATTGTCGAAAAATGTATACGGGGCCCTAATAGCGCCCTACATTCTACTTAAGTACGAGACTGTCGAGCCAGTCACGTGGTCTCTGCTGCACTTGGTTAAGTGGTGGGAAAAATCCCTCCGTTCACTACCCCTGGTTACCAGCGGTCTTAGTAAGTTACCGACTGCATGCAAGTGCACATCGATCGTATTGACAGCTGTCTCTCGGCTGATCCCGACGGTGTGTCTCGTTTCGCTTTGCTGTTTTTTTTTTCTTCGCCTCCGCGTTACAATCTCACGCTAGTACCGTTGGAGTCTCACCTCGCGCAGCGATTTCCCGAGAAATCTCGAAACTATAAGTTCGGAGTTTGCGAATTTGTCAAATCGCGAAGATTTGTTGACAACGACGGATAAAGAAGAAACATACACGTATTTAAAGAACGATCCAACAGCGATAGTCCAGTATGATATGCGCTACGGAGAAGAAGCGAAACCTTGGACGAAGTGCGCCTGTGCGACAAGAGTACCCGCGGTTTTGCCGCCCGCTTTAATTGTTGCGCTACTACTTATCTTTCGCCAGCTTGCACCTTCGTGTTCGTAGATTGTATCTGCATGGTACAAAAAAAAGAAAAAGGTTATTCGAAGGACGAAAAAGTATTCAGTGAGGTATACGCACGTATCTTGCTTCCAAAAGAATAAAGCGGAAAAAAGACGCGCAAGGAGATACGAGAAAGCGTGCAAGAAAAGTGGAAAAGAGGAAAGGATTGTTCATTTCCGGAGGCGGAGACTTCCTGCCGCGTTTTTCCCTTCCCTCTCTTTAATTCCCTCCTGCTCCCATTGCTCGTATTGCGTACGTGAAATGCCCTCGCAACGTGAGTGTACTGCGAAGCACACGTAACGAAGTTAAGCGGCGCCACGATAAAACGCTTATACTCGATGCATGTGTGATTCCACCTAAGGTGCTGTGAACAAATTACGCGAGAATTCCACACGCGAGATACAAACAGAGTAGAGGGATTCTTCTCGATCAAGAGTGCGCCGCGCCGAGCCGCATCGGCGAATTTCGCGTGATTACTAGATACAGTGTTGCTCGCGTGTGACGAGAGCCAGTGGACCCTCACGCGAGCACCGTCAATTTATCCAAAGCCTTCATTATACGAAACAGCCAGGGAGAGCCAGCGAAAAGGGAGAAAGAGAGACAGGGTGAGTTCCTTCTATCGTAAAGAATTTGTTTTTGCCTGTCTGCTTATAATTGAATGTAAATGCTGCGCGCGCTTACTTTTGGTATAAAACGATATAAGCTATTATCAAAGGAAAAGGAGTTGCCATGAGAGCAACGCGTACTAATAAAAGAAGTAAAAAAATAAGAAAAAACATTTAGGTTAAGAATTAAATTGACATTATTATTTTCAAAAATCTTTACACGTGTTATCGAAGTAAGTTTCTTTATTTTTGCGCGCGCAGCTTCATTCGAAGTATTAATATATATAGTACCGGTATTAACTTTCAACTACTTTTCTCATGGAATAATTTACAATGAAGAAATTCATTTTAGTATTTTGGCATAGTTCTTCTGTGGCAATATATCATGATATCTGGCAACGATATTATAAATAGGATTATTGAACAGAACAATTATTGACATAATATTATTGAAAAAAATTATATATTACATACATTCGCTTATAAATAAAAAAATATGCTTTTTTAAATTATATACTTTTTCTTCTATAGAAATTTCAGAATTGTTTATAACAACGAAAAAGAATGAAAAGTATTCTATATTGTCATCAACGAGAAAGAATCAAAAATATTCTATATATCTTATCTACAACTCGTTTATTTTTTAATGACTGTGCAATAGCAAGTATTGGCATATTCACATAAAAATATACAAAAGTCGAAGGCACGCTTCAATTCGAATCAAGCTTCAATCTGGAGAAATCTCGCGCGCAAATTTTACGACGCAGTCGATGTCACGTAATGTTGCCAAATTCAGTGACGCGAAAGTTTCAATTGCTTATATGCAAGAAAACTTGCGAATGTTATATAATTCCGTTTTATTTTGCACTTTTGACTCGTAGTTCCTAGTTTATGAAATTATCTCGGTCTTGTCACGTTTTAATTATCGGTTGTTCGGAGTTTTTTTTCGGTTTTTTTATTTATAGCCGTTGACATTTGTATAAGAAAACTATATAATATTCGCAGATCAACGATATTTGAATGTCGACATAAGAAAGATATCCTAAAAATGCATACGCAATTCGCGTTTGTAGTATCTGATAGAATCTTCCTGTTATCTGCAATGTTTTACGAATATATGCTAACGCGACTGTCTTGGAAACTTTAGTTTTTTTTAAAGAGAAATTATATTAGGTTATATTAAAAATGCATTAGATAGGTACATCTCTAATAATCTCATATAATTAGCAAAATATTTTCTCAGTATATCAAGAAATATACTGTATCGTATCATATTCTATAATTAACCAACTGGTATTAATGCAAATTAATATATGTATACATCATACCAGTAACCTCAGAGTTAGGAAAATTATTTTGTAAAAATAACTAGTTATCGTTACAAATTGCCAACTCTAAAAAGTAACGAGTTACAGTTACTCAGAGAGTAACGTTTTAGTTATTTCTCTGTTATCATTATACTTATGTTGACAAGTAACACTTTACTACTAGGATTGACAAAGAAAAGGTTTGATTTACGTTTTCACATGTTATACTATTTTATTTAAAAGATAGAAAGTGTTAAGTCAAAAACACATAGAAGAACGTAAGGTAGTAAGATGTAAGGAATGAGCGAATCGGCCAATCACAGTAGAAAATGTAAGCCGTTTTTACTGCAGTAATTGATCGCTTCGCTTACTGCTTACGTCTTATGCCTTACGATGTTTATACAGATAATAGCATTGACAAGCAGGATTAAATTATAAAAACGCAATTATTAAAACGTAATATTTGTATAGATTGTAATTTGCTTACGAGAGATAAATTGAAAATAAGCAAAATTAAATTACTGTTTGTCTTCTAAATGTAGCCTTTATCTTCCATAATCAATAACCAATAGCGCAACTATTCAAATTCTAACCAATCACATTAAATTGACATAAGTTTAAAATGCTTAAAGTAACTGTAAAAATAACTCAAATTAATTACTAGTTGCTATACGAATTGTAACTAATAATAAATTAAATTATAGTTATAGCGAGAAAAAAAAGAATGAAGTTAAGTTAAAATAACTGGAAAAAACTTTAAGGTTTAATGAATGGAAATCTCTTGGTAATTTTTAATCTTTAGGCAATCATGTATTGTGAAAACAGAACTAACTGTAACTTATATAATTACAAGTAACTAGTTTTTAACCTTGTTAGTAACTACATTGGAAAAGTCCAATTGTATTAATTAGAATTTTGGTTGAAAATATACAAAAATCAGATTTTTTTGATTGAATTTATTATAATTACACTTGAGATAACTAGAATTCTGATATGATCAGAATTTTTTGGTTCGTCCATTTTCAATCAGATATTTTTCTCAGTGCAATAATAAGTACTTTACTCATAACTAATAATGATGATGGTAAGGATGATAATAGTAATAATAATAATAAAAAAACATAACAGAAAATTTATTAGATAAAAAGCTTAAACAAAATAAGAACAGTAAATGGAAATAAGAACAGATCAACAGGTTAAAGTGTGACGGTGACGACAACATTAGAATAAAGAAATCTGAGTTAGATTAGGCGAGATCTCTCGCGCGATACAGTCATTTGCGAAAGTATTGAAGCAAGTATTAAATAGATATATATATATAAAATATATATATATATATATATAAACATAAAAATGAAATTATATTTTAATATAATTTCAACAGTTTTATATTATCCGAAATGTACATTTAAGTTAAATATACAATATAAATTAAACATGTAACTTAAATGTTCTTTATATTAACACACACCTTATTAAACAGCAGATTAGTATAAAATAATTAGACAAGAAAGTTCAGGAGAATGGTGATAATACGAAAGTAATATGTACGAGAAACTACAAAAGTTATGTTAAAAGGATAGTTTTTCATGACTCGTAGTTTGGCTGAAAGTACGACTTTTGCGAATGACTGTACCGATGGCATCTCTGTCGACGTGCCAGGAAGTCATCGTTAGTTAAAAAGTTGCACGAACGAGATACAATATAACTAGACGGGATATATTCGCTTCCTACCACAATGTGATTGTGCTTCTCGCTATATCGCGAATCTATTCGCGGAGATCATGTCCGCGATGATATCCCGATAACACAGCATACGCATAATTTATCTCGAGCTTTTCTCACACTGCGTATAGTTTGAATATATTATATATTATAATTTTAGCACAAGATATGTTTTCAAGAAAGTTTAATTTTGCAGATGTCTGCATATTATTTATATATGCAATGCTAGTTATGCGTATTAATAGTCGTGTAGGACACATCAAGGAAGCGATGAACGGACAACACACATACACATGATGCACGTACCTAGCCATACATAAACAAACAATTATGAAAAAAATCCGACAGCTTATTGAAATAGAGGCTCGACGTCTGTCTGTCACCAGTTCAAATCTCAGGCGCTATTATTTCCATAGATAAAGGGGCACACCTGTGTTCTTTCACGTTAAACCGCGGGATTCGCTACATCTTTATTTTTCGGGAACCGCCAATCGGGAAACGCACTCGGTCGAGCTCAGTCGTAATTTTGAAGTCGTTTGAAATCGTTGATGCCAGTCAATCGTTTCGCAGTCGTAGTATCGAGAACACATATCGGAAGACTCTAGGCAGTACTTATGTTGCAACGACCCAAGGCGATGGCCTCAGGCTTAGTCGTGTCCGTCCAACTGTTAGGTGACATCCCCAGGTGTTGCCATAGAGTGGCTCAGGGTGTTTTTCACTCAAACGTCTATGCAGAAAACGCGTTGTGAATTGTAAGGCGGACATCCCCAGGCGTTGCCGCAGTGCTGCTCAGGGTATGCATAGATAGATCACGTGTCGCGACATGAACAACATTTGATTGACATATGCGAATGAACTGAGTGTCAGAGACTTTATACTGAAATAATTAAATAATATATACTAGATTTGTACTGATGTGTTTTGTGAATCGTAATATACCTTCCCACACAGACTTGGGTGACTTAATGTGAATAACACGCGAAAAGACAATACGATCCTTAACGCCTATTCTACAATATGGTAGCAAGCCGTAAGCCATAAGAAATTAACTAATCGTAATCGATTATTTTTTTCATATTCAACTATGATTGGCTAATTTCTTACGGCTTACGACTTACAATTCTATTGTAAAACAGGCATAAATGGCTCATGTTGAACTACATAATAGTTAGACTGAATAGAAATGTCATAAATCTCTTTGATAACAAAAAAATAAAGCGTGATTGAAGAAAGAATGATTACAGAAATATTTAGAATTTCAGAAATTTTTCTCTAAAAATAGTTCCTTTTAAAAATCAATTTAAAAATCACGCAGTTAGTTACATAATTATTTAACTTTATTAACTAGATAGATATAATAATAAATATATCCTTTAATATTATTGCAGGCTCAATATCGTGATATTAAAACTGTTAGGCTATTGGAGATTTTTTGCGATTCTATGCTGAATTGTGTTGCCTCAAGTTAAAACGGACCGATGTATATAATTGATTGGTTGAAACATCGCGGATATGTGAATTATTTAACTGTATGAGTGATACTCGCGTATCAGTACACATGAATTTAAAATTCTCGCAGCCATTATTATTATCGCAAAGAAAAGCAACGATCATTACCAATATAACTTGTGCTAGTTGTGTTATAAGAATTATATCATCGCTAACGGTTTTCTACAACGTTTGTAATATCAAAATTTAAAATTTACAATGAGCTAAATGTTTAAAAATGAGAAGCAAATACGGGTAGCAACGAAATATATCACTAAAAATGCTGTTCTTTTAGAATTACGAGAGGAAATATAATATAACATTTATATATGTATATTATAAATTGAAGAAATAATATAATTTTAATCTCCAATATTGCAAAGAATATCTGTCATTTAGTTTGAATATTTATCACTGGATTTTTATGCATAGAGATACACATTTTACAAATATGGTCCAATTGTATCGATATTATAATTAATTGAATATTAACGATTTACTATATAATCACTTTTTAAAGTTGTCAATTTATAACATTTTGTAATGATTTATACTGGAGAAATTGAGATATAACCACGCATGAAATATACAATAAGAGGTATAAGAAAATTGTATATAGTTGTTCGATATCATTACAATTACGTACATATGACGTATTTCTAAGCGACTATAAGAGTCTCTTGTCTTGTGGTGTAATAGAAAATAATTTTTACAAAGATTTTTATTTTTGGATGTTTTATAAACATTAACATAACAATTACGTGTATATATAAAATAATAAATTTTTCTGCAATTATTATTTTTAACAACATGATTTTATTTTCTTGCTTTCTCGGTAACATATGACATAGTGATTTGCAACTTAGTTATTCTTTAGTTTCAATAGGAACATATATATATATGTTTATTTTTCTAAATAATAAATACCTTCGTGATTCCATGTTTCTTAGAAAATGTAATAAACAATTGTTTATGCACTGCGTTTCTGCATAAAATATGTGTCTTCTATGGCATTTTCGCATTCGAGAGAGCCTATATTTGAAGTTAGAAATAACTTATTCTGAGAATTGTGCTGAATTGTGTCCGAATTGCTAGGTTTACGCCTGAATAATAAAATCGTAATAAACAATGCGCTAAAGAATATTTAAAAAAACGATTTTTAGAAACTAACTCCTTCCAACTTGCGTTTTTTTTTTCATTTTTGTAAATTGTGCTACGTTGTGTCATGTCGTGTTAACATTATGCTGAAGTATTATCTTTAAATAATAGTAACAACAGAAGTTATAACAAAAAATAATTTTTAACAATTCTGAATCAATCAACGTTTATGTTTGCATCAATTATTCAAATATCATAAAACTGCACACTTAAGTTGAGCTAGCTAAAATCTTCATTATAATGACATTAAGCGCATTTTACTCTTGTGCTTTAAAAGGCCGCTATGCCGAGGACTTTAAAGGTTATATTGACTTGTGTTAAGCTAGCTTATTGTTAGATATGCAATTTTATGCTATTTGAATAACTGATGAAAATTTGAACGTTGGATGTATTCAGAATTGTCGACAATTATTTTTGGTCATGATTTCTGTTATTATCATTATTTAAAGTAATGCTTTATCACATACGTATTTAAATCGATGTTTCCATTCAAGCTTTCTACATTAGATTCTAATATCTGTAGATGATCTCTCATGGTTAAATACATTAAAATTATTATAACAGAATTAATAAGTTTTAAGTATCGCGCCGTGTCTTTCTTCATTATTAATGCCAACTTTTCGTGAATCATGCCGTTCACTTCATCAGGGAGAGGGGAGCAGTATCAGTGCACGAAACGTTGGCATTAATAATAAAGAAAGACACGGCGATAACCCGTAAACCTTCTGATATAATTGAAGAAAATATCATACCTGTGAAAGCCTCAAAAGCAAAAGTTTTAAGTAAGTAACACTTTTTTGCAACGCTTTATAAAATCTGGATTTTGTTTTATTATTTTGAATAATTAAGTTATTTCTTGTTTATCTTAGATTTGCGATCTTTTATCTTTAGATGGAGTTACAAATGTTTAATCAGACAGGTTTTGATGTAGTTTCTTTAGTATAGCGTATTTTTTACATGACCTCACTTGCCATGGCTATTTGCAGCGATGCCAAGAGAAACATATCTTTACCTTCAAGAGGTCGTGACTCCCTGTCCTTCATAAGTAGCTGTAGCTGTGTCAAGATTTATCATGACTTTTATAGAAATGCAGAACTTATCTATTACCTATTTTAGCCTATCTTTTATCTCGAGACTTGAAAATATGAGTAACTAACCAATAAGTTTTGCCAAATTTCGTTGTTGCGCTTGTTTAGGACAGATAAGATAAAATATATTTCTATAATATTTCGTCAATTCTCTAGCCAATATCGACAAGTATGTAAGGTTTAGGTAATTTTGCTGTTTAATATTAGAATACTTATACGAGCACCGCTAGTTTGCTCTCAATATACTATGTGCCAATTACAATACACATAAATTCATGCGATTTATTGTATTACGTTTTTTTAATCAAAGATTTTATTGTCATCTGTTTCAATACTGACAATGAGCATTATATTATATAAGTAATAATAGGTATGTTTTTGTTTTTTAAGTGACGTTTGTTGTTGCATAAGTTAATCAAATTACGTTAATAGACTCTTGATTATTATAGTTATAATTATTGTAAAAATAAGTTGTAGAAGTTAAACATTGCATCTTGAATTTACGTAAATAGGGTATGTCATTGATTCTTGACGATATATTGTATATTGATCATGATGATAGAATAAAGACTGGCATACATAGTTGATATTATCATATTATTATGATTATTTTGTGAATTTAAATGTATTAAAAAAATCACTCTTCATAAAATCAGTTTTCATGAAATCGCCTTTTTTTATTTTTTTCGTATCTGCTAGAACATGATTATTGTCACAATTTTTAACAATTCTTTAATTTAAATTATTCGTTATTATTTAAACCATCAAAATAATTTATTGCGTATTTCAGAAAATAGAGTCATCTGGATATCTGGATGGCGATACAAAGGATTTACAATTATGCATATAAAGTAATGGATAAAAATTATCGCCGTTATCTCATTTGAACGAAACCAGATTCGTTCGAATCTATTTCTTCGATCTCAATAAGAAATCCGATCACAATCATTGTGACAAGGAGACAGGAGATCGGTTTTTAATCCATTAATATCAAAAAATTCTGTGAGCGGTATGGGCAAGGTCAAAAAGAGTCCATCTCCGTTAAGAGAGGCAAAAATTCCTAAAACGATGACTGGGCGGAAAGTCCCAAAATGCGGGCGATGCTATATTCATGGAGTGGTAATTTTGCTCAGTGGACATAAAAAGTATTGCCAATTTCAAAACTGCGAATGTCCACGTTGTTATATTTTTCTGGCGGAACAGAGATTAGCGGCAGACAAAATAGCTCAGAAACGAGCGTATGAGTTGAGTAAATTGAAAAAAATTAGTCATTTAGAGGTTAGTATCTCTCTTTTCTGTCAAAGCATAAGATCTGTTAATAGAAAACTTGTGATCATTGCGGTTGCAAAGATTGATTAGATATTCGTTGATTTGATAATTGGAAATATATAGGGATTTTCTTTCCTTTGTCCATATCAATTTAGACAGCAAAAAAATGCGTATTTTTTTGTTCTCATACGTAATATTAAAATGGAATTTTTTATTTTCATACATAATATTAATGCAATTTTTTGTTCTCATACGTAATATTAAGATATATATTTTTATCAAATTTTAATATTAAAATCATAACGTTTTTCAAAAGATAAGTGTTTTTAAGCGATCTCGTCATTTACATTTATCGAAATTGTCTTTATTTACAAATGACACGCATAAAAAATTAATGTGCATTTCTCGCCTATGACGTTACAATTTCAACATGGCCGTCGCGATTACTCCAGAGCCTTAAATAGCATAATTTTTTTATGATATATATGTTAAAATACTTTTTAAAATTAATTTTTAATTTTTTCCCCGGAAAAGAAAGAATTGCAAATTATAAAAAAACGTTGTAATGTTCTTCGATTTAATATCATTAAAATGAGACTAGTTAGAAAATGTAATATCTTTGGGAACCTTTCGAAAAAATAGAATAAAGTATTATATATATATTCAATATTACGTATAGTTCTTCACGCACTAAAGAGGCTTGTCAAAAACTTATTGATCGACAATACATGAGTACACTATTAATTAAGGATTGGACTAAATAATTGCTATTAATTTTTTATTTTTGTTAAACCTAATTTTAATATATATATAATTTAAGAAATCTAAATCTATATTTATGAATACATCAGAAGCTTTATTTTGTTACTTTGAAAAATTGCGCAAATAAACTTTGAGTTACACTGATTTATATTTTTAACGTATTTTTATATTGAAACGGAACCATTAATCTGAGAATAAACAAACTTTTTATTTTGCTAATATGCTGCACATGCAACCGTAATGTAGTTTTCATTTATGTAATATATACATATATACATATACACGTATATAGATTATTATTACTTAAATATTATTGTTCTTTTTCAGCGCGAGGTATCACCGACAACTTTATTTTATCCGACCATGAAAGAAAGTGAGTATAATATTAATACACACACACACACATACAAATTGCATGTAATATATTAGATTACATTAATATTAATTGCAGTAGATATCATTTACATTATCTTAGAAATTTAGAGATATTCTCTTCTTTTTGTGTCTCAATACGTTACAACATAGTCAAGATTAAAGTCATCCGGCAGTTGCGCTTTTTTTTGTGTAATTTTACCGAAAATGTTAATATAATCATTATATTATAACATAATTAGTATTGTGAGGGAGAGAGAGGGAGAGAGAGTGCGTGTGCGTGCGTGTGTTTATGTGTATGAAATTATGGATAAGAAAAACGAATAAGTAGAAATATTTATTTATAAGTGTGCTACGACAAATTAAATTAATTAAAAATAATTAGCTTATATCTATGTTGAACTCATTTTTATTCGCAATGAAATTCATTTTTATTTTCACGTTGTTTTATATTGTTTCATATTGTTATTCACCCGATCCTTTAAATCATTCAACGCGCTTATATACAAGATTTGTCTGACATTTAAATATTTCACATAGACCGTGGCACAAATAATTCATCCGTGCGACGCTATGTGAGTGTCATTAGTAGGAATAAAGAAGCTACAATCACAAAATATTATGATTATAAGATTATCTAGCACGTGCAGAATCATCGAAAGTCCCCGTATAAAGTTGCAAATCAAAATGTACTTGAAAATATACGTTTTGATCGGATCGCAAGTTTGTTCTAGAAAAGTGAAATTCCTGTTCTTACCTATTGGCAATTATTTGCGGTTTAAACATATTTTGAATAAGATATAATTTTGAAAACTTACGAGTGTGTGAAACTTATAAAATTAATTATAGAGAAATAAATTTATGAAATTATGGAGAAATGAATGATTGATAGTCCTGTGTATTTTTATATTAACTCAATCAAAATGTGTCTTAACGAGCATTTGTCGAAATTCTCGAATAATTTTGTTAAATCTATATAATGTTCTAAAGAGAATTAATTTATTTACATTTTGCATTTTTGTAAAAACATTCTTCTCTTTGTCAAAGCGAGTTTTAGATTTTTTAACGATTAATTTTCTCGTATGCGCAATTATTTATTTGTAATTTTATTATTTATTACAATGGCGTAATAATCGAGTAATGTATCATAAGCAGCTTGTTCTACTTCAAACTTTGATTTCTTTTAAGAACTATGTATTTTACATGCGCCCTTTTAAATCTAAAATTTTTTATTTATTTACGAAAAGTAGTATTTTTTTTTTAATTAAATGTATTTTATACTTGCATCGCAGAAATATGTCTCGATATGCATGCTAATCGCTTATTTATTATTATATATCTACATGACAAACGCACACACATATACGTTTATACAACGAAAATCGAGATTGCCTACCTGTTGCACACATTCTTCTTTGATATCTTTCATCTTTAGTGTATTTGAAAAATGCAGCCCTTACTGGAGGTAGCACATTTTAACTCTGTTATTTAAAAATTCATTTAACATTAAAAAATTGCAAAACTTTTGTGTTTCTAATTTCTGAATGCGATTTCTAAGAGAAGCTTTTGTCATCGTTCAGCGCGTTTTTAAAATTAGGAATTAGTATATATCTCAGACACAAATAAATAACCATTATTTAAGGAAGAAAAGATATTTAACTGTTAACAAATATCATAAATTATATAATTTATGTAAGTACATATATATATTTATTTGTAGAGGTTTTGACTAGCGACGCTGAACTAGCGTCAGTCTGTCTCTCTCTCTCTCTCTCTTTCTCTCTCTCTTTCAACGTAATTTTACAATATAAATCGTGCTTATATATAACTGTTTATTAAACAAGAAAGATCTAATCATTGCAATGCTTTATTGCGAGAAACGGTGATCCATGAATTTTGTTATTTATTCGCGACATTTCCTTTGTACACATAGTGCTATATGACTCTTTGCGGTTGTTTGGCCTTTTCCCAGATGATTCCTGCAAAAATGATAGAACGTTAAAGTTCACGAATGGCGATAGTAGTTGGCCGCATACTCCTGGTACGTACAGCTCTATAGTTATAATCAAGCGAAATAATTATAGAATAAATTATAGTAACGAGATAGTGAGACCTCCTCCGTTGCAGAATTTAGGAACAAAGATCGGCATTCAGTGCATTCAAGCAAGGAAGGTTGTTGCTTACCCCCACGCGTGCTCTTTAAACCGTTATATGGTACACGAACATTCAAATGTCATTCGATGAAGAAGAAAGAGATCGTTTTTCGTGGAGAAACAATTCTTACATTGTCTTCGAGATTGCCTAATCGATCAGTGCTTTCAACATTCTCAATTTCTTTGCTAATTTTTTTTTTTTTAATAGATTTTGAATAGAAGCTAGAATTTTTCTCTTGCAAATAAAGTCATATATATTGTAAGAAGATTGAATTACAGCGATTCATAAATTCAGCCGAAGGATTAAGATTATAAAATTTTTTGAAAAGCGATTTTGCCGTTTTGTCCTGTTTGTCGGTGATAATACATCGCGTTTGTTATTGTCACCTTACGCGCAAGTATTTAATGTATAAGTGAACGAGTGTACTTATAACGTCGTTCACAGGGATTCCAACGAAATTCAAGCCACTCTTTCACTTGACAACCCAACCGAATGTTAACCCTGGTTTTACGAGCGTCCCCATTGGCCTGCGGGCCATGCGAACTCGGCTAATATAATACGAACTTATAACCAAAGCCGAAACCTAGGAGCTTGCTCTCGCTTTTACGATCTAGCTCTCGTTTTTAAAAGTTATCGTTATTTTGCTCATTTTTGGACGAAATAGTTTGTTCCCAGACGTAAATCGGCTAAACCTAAATTGACAACACATTTCCTTTCCTAAAGAGAGAGAGAGATAGAGAGAGAGAGAGAGAAAGAGAGCATTGCATACATCTGCATCTACAATTTCCTATAGAGATATAATCATAGCATATAATTATAAAGCCTTTTTACAAGAACAAATGTGATGAATAAGAAGAAAACATTCTAGTAAATGATATGTTTTTCACTGCATTCATTCTTTCATTGTGGTATCTTTATTCGCATAATTTCTTCTGATGCACAGCTATTGCGAATCTATTATTTTGCATTGTTTTTGAAAGTGATTTCTGAGATAAAAATAATTTATTGTGTTGTATTTGAGTGTACTGGGAAATTTTGCTTTTCCTTATACGTAGACTCCGAAGTACACTGCCGTTCGAAGAACTAATCATGAATGTGAATTAATTAATTTACAGCACATACTCGGATTAACCACCGGGGTTAACTATCGAATTTAACACATCTTCGTGGTATCGGAATCGATGATAATGTAAAAGCAACACAGCATCCGATAATACGAAAAGTCAGCTCTCGTTGTAGCGTCGTAGAGATGTTATGCCTCAACTCCACGGGTGATTATGACGAGTACATGGTTATAAAGGTTATTTTTACGATCTTGCATTTCGAGACATTGAGTACAGGCTTTTAATAATGTATCGCTCGTCGTTATTATAGAGCGGCTACGTGTCTTACAAAAGTAACGCGTGCTCATTGCTTCACGATAATTACCTAAATTAAATAAGAAATTTGTTGGTTCTTGTGTGCTTGATATTTTCAGACATTAGAATATAGATATAATAGAATTTCTTATACACGATAGTCTTCCTCATATATAAGTATCTTGAATTATTGTTTTATTATTTAGTTCTGATATAATTGTTTTATTAATATTTTAAAAGTATAATTATTTTTGAATTTTTTGCATTAATGTATGTGCAAATATTAAACACATACAGCCTTTAATGCTTTAATACGAGATAAAAATTGGCAATACATATTCAATATATTCTTTTTTATTACTTTATACTTTTCTATTCAGTTAGTAAATATAAAACTCGAAGATGTCTCGAAAGAAGAGAAATCTAAGCCATAGATTTTTAAGTATATGTTTTACGAATGGATCTAGCATCGTTCTCAGAAAGTTAATCGAAGGAAAATGGTTGCGGTTACACTGAAAGACGCGGAAAGAATTCTTGTATTCCCATATTGATCATCACGAGACTTTTATGATCGTTAATTCTCTTTCGGTATAGACCTCACCGAAAATCCTACTCATAAATCTCACTTGGACCCTGGTGTTGGTTTCCTTTCTTGCTTAGCTAGCGCGTGATGACATTTCGTTTAGACTAATCATTTACAAAATTCGTTTCTTGCGGGTTCTTTGATGAAACCGAGAAAAGTAGATTTATTACGTGAAACGTTTTAAAAATAGAACTGTGAATAACACATACACACACATAGATATTACTAGTATAGAAATAAAATTATATCGTAATTTTTTTAAATTTCAACACAAATATTTAAAAAATCCTTAAATAATAATGTATTCAATATTCATATACCTAAACTATTTTCAAATATTTGTGTATTTTCTCAAATGACATATAATGTCAAAACATATATCTCATGGAATTCTAATTAAGATGTAATTTTATTGTCACTTTGTGTTAAATCTAAAGATATATCAATAAACACAGATACTGAATTTACGAATAATTGTTATATCACTTATTGGATCTTGTATCGGCATTGAGTTAATTGATAGAAATCTATTAGTTATGATACACAAGCGGATTATCTCTCATTCCAGATAAGTATATAGTAGCGATTGTTTTGAAATTTTCGTGAACACAAACAAAACTTCGTGTTTTATTACTTTTACTATTTTATACGTATATTAATTAATTAATTTATATTTTTATTTTATCTGAGTTATTAGTCTCAATACTTTGATTTCCCTGCAAAACACACACGTATTATTCTCAATATACATATATTTATATTTTCCGATAATGATACAACTTTTATTGATATTTTTTTATTATTATTTAAAACGCTAATTTATACACGTACATTCTTATAACCTTCCATGTCAAAATTAGTTTTGGGTTTGATGCTATGCCATTGCGATGAATTACTTATCAATTC